AGCACCTGGCTCAGACTTAGATTTTTTTTCTAACTGGATGGAGGAGCACTTCACCAGCTCCAGTCAAAAGTCTATGTTCGTGGGGGGGGGATTTCAATATTGATTTATTAAACCAAAACAAACATAAAAAAACGGACGACTTTATAAATACTCTATTTAGTTTAGGACTGTTTCCATTGATCACTAAACCAAGCAGAATCACAACCCACAGTGCAACAGTAATAGACAATATTTTTTCAAACGATATAGAATGTAAAACTATCAGCGGACTTTTGATAAATGATATTAGTGACCATCTTCCTGTCTTTGTAGTGTATGATAATGACAACCTAAAAAATAATGATGAAAACATGTTTCTGTGTAAAAGAGTAAAAACAGATAAAACAGTTGAAGCATTTAAAAATGAGATACTGATGAATGATTGGAGCAATATTTACTTAGAGAGTGACTGTAACAAGGCGTATGAGGAGTTTGTGGAAGTGTTTCAAGAAGCATATGATAAAAATTGTCCAGTAAAAAAATACAGTAAAAAAAGAAAGATCATAGAAAACCCATGGATGACGAAAGGATTATTAAACGCATGTAAAAAAAAGAATTATCTTTACAAAAACTTTGTTAAAAAACGAACAAAAGAAGCTGAAGAGAAATATAAGAAATATAAAAATAAACTCACTGATATTATTAGAAACTGCAAAAAGAACTATTATAATAACTTGCTAGAAATGAATAAAAACAATATTAAAGGGTTATGGAATATATTAAATAAAATAATCAGAAATAAGCCCAGAATGATAAATTATCCACAATATTTTAAAGACAAGGATAAAACCATGGTTAATATGAATGAAGTAGTTGAAACGTTTAATAAATTCTTTGTTGATGTTGGTCCAAACCTGGCTGCTAACATCACAAATGTTGAGAAAGACTCCTGCTATCAAATAGAAACCAACCCAAGTTCACTGTTTCTGAAACCTGTAGAAGAAAATGAGTTAATAAATATAGTGAGAGGGTTTAAAAACAAAACATCGACGGACTACTGCGATTTGGACATGAGGACCTTAAAGAGTGTTTTTGCGGGTATTTCAAAGCCATTTAAACACATATGTAATTTATCACTACAAACTGGACAATTTCCCCAACACATGAAAGTAGCCAAAGTAATTCCCCTGCTTAAATCTGGAGACAAACATATATTTACAAACTATAGACCTGTAAGGTCTACTCCAAGGTACTGGAGAGGAGGCTACGGCCGATGGTCGAATCTCGGACTCAGGAGGAGCAGTGTGGTTTTCGCCCCGGTCGCGGAACACTGGACCAGCTCTGTACTCTCCATCGGATACTCGAGGGTTCATGGGAGTTCGCCCAACCTGTCCACATGTGCTTTGTGGATTTGGAGAAGGCGTTCGACTGTGTTCCCCGGGGTGTCCTTTGGGGGGTTCTCCGGGAGTACGGGGTCGGGGGTCCTCTGCTGAGGGCCATCCGGTCCCTGTATGACCAGAGCCAGAGCTGTGTTCGCATTGCCGGCAGTAAGTCAGACCTGTTCCCGGTGAATGTTGGCCTCCGACAGGGCTGCCCTTTGTCACCGGTTCTGTTCACTGTATTTATGGACAGAATATCTAGGCGCAGCCAGGGGTCGGAGGGGGTCCGGTTCGGGAACCACAGGATTTCATCTCTGCTGTTTGCGGACGATGTTGTCCTGTTGGCTCCAACGAACCAGGACCTGCAGCATGCACTGGGACGGTTTGCAGCCGAGTGTGAAGCGGCTGGGATGAGAATCAGCACCTCCAAATCTGAGGCCATGGTGCTCGACCGGAAAAAGGTGCCTTGCCCTCTGCAGGTGGGTGGAGAGGTCCTTCCTCAAGTGGAGGAGTTCAAGTATCTCGGGGTCTTGTTCACGAGTGAGGGAAGAATGGAGCGTGAGATTAACAGGCGGATCGGTGCAGCGTGCGCAGTGATGCGGTCGCTGTATCGGACCGTTGTGGTGAAGAGGGAGCTGAGCCGAAAGGCGAAGCTCTCGATTTACCGGTCAATCTTCGTTCCCTCCCTCACCTATGGTCATGAGCTTTGGGTAATGACCGAAAGAACGAGATCGCGGATACAAGCGGTCGAAATGAGCTTCCTCCGCAGAGTGGCTGGGCGCTCCCTTAGAGATAGGGTGAGGAGCTCAGTCACACGGGAGGAGCTCGGAGTAGAGCCGCTGCTTCTCCACGTCGAGAGGAACCAGTTGAGGTGGCTCGGGCATCTGTTCCGGATGCCTCCTGGACGCCTCCCTAGGGAGGTGTTCCGGGCACGTCCCACCGGGAGGAGGCCCCGCGGAAGACCTAGGACACGCTGGAGGGACTATGTCTCTCAGCTGGCCTGGGAACGCCTTGGGGTCCCCCCGGACGAGCTGGAGGAAGTGTGTGTGGATAGGGAAGTCTGGGCGTCTCTGCTTAGACTGCTGCCCCCGCGACCCGGCAACGGATAAAGCGGAAGAAAATGGATGGATGGATGGATATAGGCCTGTTTCACTTCTACCACAACTCTCCAAAATCTTAGAAAACATTTTCAATTCCAGACTTGACAGCTTCATCGAAAAAAATAATACACTCTGTGACAATCAGTTTGGCTTTAGAAAAAACCACTCAACTTCACATGCACTGTTTGACATAACTGAAGAAATTACTAACGCTATAGACAATAAGAAAAACGCAATTGGACTATTTTTTGACCTCAGTAAAGCATTTGACACCATAAACCATGAACTATTAATTAGGAAGCTAGAACGCTATGGGATCAGGGGGGTGGCATTACAGTGGGTCAACAGTTATCTAAAAAACAGGAAGCAATATGTGAAACTGGGTGATTTTCAATCAAGCTGTTTAGAAATTGTGTGTGGTTTACCTCAGGGTTCCATTCTTGGTCCAAAACTGTTTAATCTGTACATAAATGACATTTTTAAAACATCTAAAATACTGAAATTCATCTTGTTTGCCAATGACACGAATATTGTTGCAACCGGTGATAATTTACATAAGCTATTTCAAACTGTTAATCTGGAACTCAAAAAAGTAAGTTATTGGTTCAAACAAAACAAGTTATCTCTAAATTTAAGTAAAAGTAAAATCATGATATTTGGCAAAGGTAATTCCAACACTCAGGAGATGATTCAGATAGAGGGTATTGTCTTAGAACAGGTGCAAGAAATCAAATTTCTTGGAGTTATAATAGACAACAGGCTAACTTGGAAACAACACATTAAATACATATCCACTAAAATATCAAAAAGTATCTCCGTAATAGCAAAAGCAAAGCAGTTTTGAAATTTCAAAGCTCTACGTACTTTATACTGTTCTCTGATTCTGCCATATCTGAATTACTGCTCTGTGATCTGGGGAAACACTTACAAAAACGCCAGTCAAACCGTTAGTGATGCTACAAAAAAGAGCCATTCGAATTATTCATAAAGTGGGTGTTCGAGATCATACAAACGCGTTATTTATAAATTCAAAGATTATGAAGTTTTATGATCTTATTGAGTTCCAGACTGTGCAGTTGATATATAAAGCAAGATATAAACATTTACCAAAACAAATACAGAAAAGGTTTCAAGAGCGAACTAGTTGTTACGAACTACGAGAAGAATTGACCTTGATGATACAGAAACACAGCTCAACACTGAAAAGTTTCAGCCCCACAGTTAATGGGGTTCAACTGTGGAATAATTTGGAGCGGGAGATGAAACATAGTCCAAACATTAATGTGTTCAAATTTAAATACAAACAAAAGACTTTCGATAAATATAAAGAGGAGGAAATTATATGTCACTAGGGGGCGCAATCGGGCTAAAATAAATTGGTGTTAGGTTTTGTTTTGTTTTATTTTTTTATTTCTATTTTATCAACTTCGTTTTGTTGCTTATTATAGTCATTATGATCTTTATTGACCTTGAAGAGTGATGTTGCTTTAAACAGTTGCCATTATTTGTCGTTAATATTGCTGTTATCGTCTGTTCTTTCTTGTTTATTTTTTTACATTTGCATAGTTGCTGTTCTATGTAAAGTGTGTATATTTTCATGTAGTGTTTTGGGGGTGGGCACCAATAAGCTTTTGCTTCGGCCCACTCCTTTTGAGCAGTACTTGTCTGCTCAAATAAACAAATAAATAAATTCTCGGATGTGTAATTTATGACGTATTAGTTTTCTTTTGCTGTCATATATAATCATAAACAAGAGGCCTGTCTCACATTTTCAGGAAGATTGTCCCAGATTTTTGCTGCATGAATCTGAATTGCAGCCTCCTCATGTTTAGTTTGTGTTTGTATGTGGTGTGCAGCTCTTCAGACTCGTAATGGACCATGTGGGCTGGGGTCTTTTGTGCATGACACTTACTGTATATAAAATAAACTCCACAGACAGTACAAGCAGTCTTTTGAAAAATAAGAAATGAATAAGAAATTTAAAAAATAAACAAAAATATATAAGACGTTCAAAATGATCTACAAAAATAAATCATATAATAATAAAATAATATTAAAATAAAAAATAAATATAATAATAATAAAATAATGTTAAAATAAAAATAAATAAATATCAAGTTAAAATTGAATCTAAATAAAAAAAAAAGTAATTATAATATTAAAAACAATAATAAAATTAATATTGTACAGTATTTCTGATCTGTTGTTGGTGAATGGAATGGTGTAAAGTCCTCCAAGACGACTGTTGATGGAAATGAGTGTAGTTCCAAACGTCACATCTAACTGAAAAAGTAAACCGCTAAATCAAGCTAGCTCAGAATCCACAATCACATTTATACAAAGCGCCGCCGTGTGTAGAGCAGTTCAAATCCCGGCTCCACCTTAGTAATAATCCAACATTACATTAGTGCGATGAATGCTCCCATTAACAAGAGTAAATTAGACCCAGTGATATGATTACCTCCTGATTCTGAGACGTCCAAGTGCTACGTCCTGCTCGCCGCCGCCACGCCGCACCCTGATTGGATCATCCTCGCTGCATATGGCACATTCAATCACGGGCCCTCCCCAGTGTCGCTGCCGAGGAGGGACATTAGCTCCCCGCGTGGACCATTACCAGGCCACCTTCAAAAGGATCCAGGCACTAATCATGTTAGCAGCGCGGCTAACCTGCTGGCGTGCCGAGCTAAAGGCTAATGGGGGATATGTGGGGGGTCCACGGGGAGGGCAGGAGAGATATGTGGGGGTCCACGGGGAGGGCAGGAGAGATATGTGGGGGTCCACGGGGAGGGCAGGAGAGAAGAACCAGGGGCCAAAGGTTGGGTCAAAGGTTGGGTCAAAGGTTGGGTCAAAGGGTTAGCGACAGGTGAACGGTCATCAGGCGTCCCATTGGCCAAGACCTGTGACAGAATCAGAATTCACATGTTTTTTTATTTATTTGTGACCTGCAGGTGAAAGCCAGATCCCATCAGACCCCTGAAGCTAAGCAAGGCAGGACCTGGTCAATACTGCGAAGGGAGACCTCACAGTATTAATATGCCAGTGCTGCAGTCGGGCAGATGTCGGTGTAAAATGTGTCCTTTGGTTAAGACATTGCACTAGAATGAGTCTGTGTGGAGTCTGTATAATAACATGTGTCTTTGAGTGTCCATAATAGCAATATATAAAATCAATTTATTTTATTACAAGTCAGTACAGTACAGTATATTAGTATTCAAGATTTTCAATAATTAAGTGTACTGTGGAAATCATAGTGAAAAATGGTTCCAAGTTCAAACAACGTACTCACTTTACTGCCTGAGGGTAGCACTAACAAACTTAACAGACACATTTTAGTTCTTTTTGTAAATTTTGTTTATTTATTATTGTAAAATGTATATAAGATCTTTGAAAACATGTGACCTGAGATGTAATGGACATAGAAAAATAAAAGCTACTACTACTACTACTACAGCTGTAAAAATGAGATATGGTCAGTCTGGACGAGGACCCAGAAGTCTTCTCTTGCTTCTCACTGAAAGCTTTAAGAGTGGTTCTAAAGCACAGGTGTCAAAGTCAAGGCCCGGGGGCCAGATCCGGCCCGCGAGACCATTTCCAGTGGCCCCTGAGATGAATTTAAATGATTACATTAAATAGCAGCATTGATGGAAATAGGCGACAATGGCATGTTATCCTTTACAAATGTTCTCAAGAAAGCAACCATAACATTTAATTCCATAAGAAATGTTAAGCCAACATGTAATTAGAAGTTAGTATTGTTATGTTTTTTTACGAGTCTTCAATTACATTTCTTCTCAAAGATATGAAGAAGGATTTCCCCAATTTTCTTAGGACAGAACCGCCCTCTCCACTTTTTGAACAAATCTCTCTGGTCTTATTTGACGAGCACGAATCACCAGAATGATTGACACTTGGTAGTCCACAGTAACTGAACTAGTCTAATCAGAAAAGAATATCCAATCTAACTAATGTGAAACAAGTCATTTATATTGATACCTTCATATTATAAAAAAGTATAATAAATGAAACCCACCTCTTCTTTTGGCCCCTGACCAGCCCTTTCATTTTTTATTCGGCCCTAAACCAAAATGAGTTTGACACCCCTGTTCTAAAGGGTTCGGCACATATATATGTTTAATTCAACTTTTTATATATGAATAAACCTCAAAGATTCTTCTTCGTCTGTCTTTGGTCCTGTGCACGGTGCATCATTCTGTAATGTAGTGTGATAAAGTCGCCACAGTTCTTGCGACACCATTGCAGAGTGTTACAGATGATTTTAGGCCTGTGCGGTCATACAATTATAAATAACAAGTCTGGGTTCTGGTTCCGGATCACAGTCCATTGCACCAGTGTGGCTCTACAGACTTTGTGATGTGCTGTAAATTCTCGTCAGTGGATCAAACCAATAAAAAAAACATTTTCATATTTGTGTCCAGCAAACTCTCCCATCATTTCTTCAGCGCCTGCTTTTAATCAGCGGGGTCTGGTCCGTCGGCAGAGCAGCCCAGGGGTTCTCGTCTCTCTGCGATTATTCCAGACTTCAAAGTGTGGCTAATTGCACTAGCGCCGTTTGCTAATGCGCTGCTTTTAATTTGAATTTCCAGCTTCAGTGAATCATAAATGTTAGACCCAATTACCCGACGAGAAGAGGACACACGGCACCACCGCTCACCTCGGCTCAGATGTTTGGCCTACTTTCACCAATGCCCTAATAAGGTCATTAAAATGCTGCGCTACTCGCCAGTATCAATATGTGGACCGTTCTATTAGTCATGCATAAGAAACAGGTCATGAATACGGGTCATGGATGTGTTTGCTTTGTCCCAACAACAGATAAATGACTTCTGCGTGTTTGCTTCGTCTGGGAGGAACTATTAGCAGATTGTGGGTTGGTTTCTCGGTGAGGGACAGGTGAAGAAGGGTTTGTTCACATTTAAAGGGGACAGAAGAATGTATACAAGAATTTTATTTGCCATTTGCAGTAAAACCACAATGGAAAAACTGAAAGACTACCCCAGTTTTAGCCTGGTCTTATCCATCCGTACTCTCCGGTCCATCATCATGTCCTGCTTGAAACGTCTGGGTCTGGTCCCTGTGTTTGGGATTACATCTGACCAATCAGAGAGCGCGAGAGGCGGGTGTTGTAGTTAGATGTGGGTGACGTCAAGAGTTTGCGCCGAACGGGCAGATTGTAGTTTGGCAATGACGAAGAATGCGATAGTAAAGTATTCTGGTCTGGTTCTATCAAGAAACTGAAGCCGGAGCAAATGTAATCTCTGGCAAAGATTTTGGCTCTACTCCCCACGGGCTCCAATAGTGGTAGATGGCTAAAGCTAGGCTAAATGCTAAATGCTAACGACTCACTCGGGCTCATTACATACGTCACGGTAAATTCAGATCCAATCGTTTTCATCTGCAAAATCCAGACCTTAGTATGAAATGTAATTTTCACTATGGTGTGGTACGACCAGGCTACCCCAGTGACAGCCAGAATTAGATTTTAATAATCACAAGATACATTGTGTTTTTTAATGTATCCAAATACCCTCAGTCCATTAGTAGTTGGGGGGAGTGGTTTGGTGAAGAGGGAGGGGATGGGGGAGTGGTTTGGTGAAGAGGGAGGGGATGGGGGAGTGGTTTGGTGGAGAGGGAGGGGATGGGGGAGTGGTTTGGTGGAGAGGGAGGGGGAAAGGGGAGTGGTTTGGTGGAGAGGGAGGGGGAAAGGGGAGTGGTTTGGTGGAGAGGGAGGGGGAAAGGGGAGTGGTTTGGTGGAGAGGGATGGGGAAAGGGGAGTGGTTTGATGGAGAGGGATGGGGAAAGGGGAGTGGTTTGGTGGAGAGGGAGGGGGAAAGGGGAGTGGTTTGGTGGAGAGGGAGGGGGAAGGGGAGTGGTTTGGTGGAGAGGGAGGGGGGAAGGGGAGTGGTTTGGTGGAGAGGGAGGGGAAAGGGGAGTGGTTTGATGGAGAGGGAGGGGATGGGGGAGTGGTTTGATGGAGAGGGAGGGGATGGGGGAGTGGTTTGGTGGAGAGGGAGGGGGAAAGGGGAGTGGTTTGGTGGAGAGGGAGGGGGAAAGGGGAGTGGTTTGGTGGAGAGGGAGGGGGAAAGGGGAGTGGTTTGGTGGAGAGGGAGGGGATGGGGGAGTGGTTTGGTGGAGAGGGAGGGGATGGGGGAGTGGTTTGGTGGAGAGGGAGGGGGAAAGGGGAGTGGTTTGGTGGAGAGGGAGGGGGAAAGGGGAGTGGTTTGATGGAGAGGGAGGGGATGGGGGAGTGGTTTGGTGGAGAGGGAGGGGATGGGGGAGTGGTTTGGTGAAGAGGGAGGGAATGGGGGAGTGGTTTGGTGGAGAGGGAGGGGGGAAGGGGAGTGGTTTGGTGGAGAGGGAGGGGGAAGGGGAGTGGTTTGGTGGAAAGGGATGGTGAAAGGGGAGTGGTTTGATGGAGAGGGAGGGGGAAGGGGAGTGGTTTGGTGGAGAGGGAGGGGGAAGGGGAGTGGTTTGGTGGAGAGGGAGGGGATGGGGGAGTGGGTTGGTGGAGAGGGAGGGGGAAGGGGAGTGGTTTGGTGGAGAGGGAGGGGGGAAGGGGAGTGGTTTGGTGGAGAGGGAGGGGGAAAGGGGAGTGGTTTGGTGGAGAGGGAGGGGGAAAGGGGAGTGGTTTGGTGGAGAGGGAGGGGGAAAGGGGAGTGGTTTGGTGGAGGGGGAAGGGGAGTGGTTTGGTGGAGAGGGAGGGGGGAAGGGGAGTGGTTTGGTGGAGAGGGAGGGGGAAAGGGGAGTGGTTTGATGGAGAGGGAGGGGATGGGGGAGTGGTTTGATGGAGAGGGAGGGGATGGGGGAGTGGTTTGGTGGAGAGGGAGGGGGAAAGGGGAGTGGTTTGGTGGAGAGGGAGGGGATGGGGGAGTGGTTTGGTGGAGAGGGAGGGGATGGGGGAGTGGTTTGGTGGAGAGGGAGGGGGAAAGGGGAGTGGTTTGGTGGAGAGGGAGGGGGAAAGGGGAGTGGTTTGATGGAGAGGGAGGGGATGGGGGAGTGGTTTGGTGGAGAGGGAGGGGATGGGGGAGTGGTTTGGTGAAGAGGGAGGGGATGGGGGAGTGGTTTGGTGGAGAGGGAGGGGGGAAGGGGAGTGGTTTGGTGGAGAGGGAGGGGGAAGGGGAGTGGTTTGGTGGAAAGGGATGGTGAAAGGGGAGTGGTTTGATGGAGAGGGAGGGGGAAGGGGAGTGGTTTGGTGGATAGGGAGGGGGAAGGGGAGTGGTTTGGTGGAGAGGGAGGGGATGGGGGAGTGGTTTGGTGGAGAGGGAGGGGGAAGGGGGAGTGGTTTGGTGGAGAGGGAGGGGGGAAGGGGAGTGGTTTGGTGGAGAGGGAGGGGATGGGGGAGTGGTTTGGTGGAGAGGGAGGGGGGAAGGGGAGTGGTTTGGTGGAGAGGGAGGGGGGAAGGGGAGTGGTTTGGTGGAGAGGGAGGGGATGGGGGAGTGGTTTGGTGGAGAGGGAGGGGGGAAGGGGAGTGGTTTGGTGGAGAGGGAGGGGGGAAGGGGAGTGGTTTGGTGGAGAGGGAGGGGGAAAGGGGAGTGGTTTGATGGAGAGGGAGGGGGAAAGGGGAGTGGTTTGATGGAGGGGGAAGGGGAGTGGTTTGGTGGAGAGGGAGGGGGAAAGGGGAGTGGTTTGATGGAGAGGGAGGGGGAAAGGGGAGTGGTTTGATGGAGAGGGAGGGGAAAGGGGAGTGGTTTGGTGGAGAGGGATGGGGAAAGGGGAGTGGTTTGGTGGAGAGGAAGGGGGAAAGGGGAGTGGTTTGGTGGAGAGGGATGGGGAAAGGGGAGTGGTTTGGTGGAGAGGGAGGGGGAAAGGGGAGTGGTTTGGTGGAGGGGGAAAGGGGAG